GATTCCGCCCGTGCTGCCAGACGGAGTCAGAGCGAGAGCGGCACACGAAGTCGCCAAAACACCGTTTCGGTCGAACCCTGCTTTCCAAGGCTTCAGCTTCCCTCTCGTCTGACGCCTCCTCTCGTCAGCGACGTCCCCTTCTGGGGCCAGCGTTTCATCCTGGGTTGCTCTTCGGCTGTCTCGAAGCAGAGTGAAGCCAGCCGCCACGATTTTTACCCGCGACGCCCAGGTCAGAATTTGATGAGGTGAGAAGGGGCGGGCCTCCTCAGAAGGCTCGGAAGTCCCTCAGCCTTCTGAGAAGTTTTCTAGGACTTCCCCGCAGACACAGAACACTTCTCTGAAGGCGCGAGGGCTTCTGAGAAGTCCCGCCGCCTTCTGAGAAAACCTTCTCCTTCTCACTTCTCCCCCTCGCTCGCCGCCAAAATTTAGTCAGGATACGCTCCAGGAGTAATGGGATCCCACCAGCCCTTTAGGGCGTGAGTGATTTAGAGCGTTTTCTCTTCCGACCCCCTTTCTTCCCCAGCAGGGAGACGCTTGCCCCTCCCCCTACCCCCTACCCCTGGACCTGGACGCGAGGGGCGCGAGGTGTCAGAGGGTCTTCTCTTGGCCTCGGCGGGAAGGCCCAGATCATTGATTTGGCTTGGGTTTTGGACAAATGTTGGCCTCCTGGGGGGGGGCGACACTAATTGGACGCCCCCCCTTCTTTGATCGCTCACCTCCAAGAGAAACCGGAAATCTTGAAGCGCATCACCATCTCTGAGGCACGGCGAGTTGAAACAACGGCAACTCGAAAACCTGTCTCTGGACCCCTCCCGGGGTCCAAACGCGCCAAGTGTCCGAGCTGCGTCCAGCCGTGGCGACGAGGGGGCCCCGCGGAAGCTGACTATCCTTATCTCAACCCGCCCTCCTCTAATTATCACGGACCATTGCTTCTTTGACCGAGGACCCTCTCGCCCTCCCCGAGATGTACTCGGGGATGTGGGCCACGCGGTCCAAGAACGACGGGAGCCCGTCGACATCCTTGGAAGGTTCCGAACGCCTCTGCCCCCTCCATGGGCGCGCACCCGCAGTGGCGTCGCAGCAGCCGCGATTTTGAAGCCCCCCCAAGTGGGGTCCGAGCACCCAGACCCCATCGCGTCGTGAAATTGGCCTGGCGAGGGACCCAACCGTGCGCAGTTGGGAATACCGCAGTTGTGTGTCTCGTCGCCGGTGGAGCCCTCTATGAGGGCACGAAACGAGCGAGGGGTGTGTTGAGATGGGTGGCGTGGACACGTGCGAACCCTGCCACTGGGGCAATCGATGGAGCTCCCCACAAGGCCATGAAACCTGTGAGGGGTGAGCCGAAATGGGTGGCGCGGACCACGAAACGTGCGAGGGGTGTGCCGAAATGGGTGGCGAGGGCGCATGCGAACCCTGCCATGGGTGCCTTCGGTGGAGCCCCCTATGGGGCCACGAAACGCGTGAGGGGTGTGCTGACATGGGTGGCGCGGACGCATGCGAACCCTGTCTCTGGGGCATTCGATGGAGCCCTCTATGGGGCCACGAAGCGGGTGAGGGGTGTGCCGAAATTGGTGACACGGACGCATGGGAACGTCGCCACTAGGGCCTTCGGTGGAGCCCCTTAGGGGGCCACGAAACGTGAGAGGGGCGTGCCGACATGGGTGGTGCAGACGCATGCGAACCCTGCCACTGGGGCCTTCGTTGGAGCTCCCTAGGGGCCCACGAAAAGTGTGAGGGGTGTACCGACACGGTCGCGCGGTGATGACGACACGCGGAGATCAGGTGCACGGACGGGAAGAGGGAAGAGAAGGAGGAGGAGGAGGAGGAGGAGGAGGAGGAGGAGGAGGAGGAGGAGGAGGAGGAGGAGGAGGAGGAGGAGGAGGAGGAGGAGGAGGAAGAGGAGGAGGAGGAGGAGGAGTTTTTTTTTTGAAGCGCGTACGGACACGGGCTCGTACCGGTCTGAGGCTCAATCGCAGGAGGCATGAAAAACGGCTTGCGACATTAAAAGGGTGACCTCGGAGCGAAGCCCGGCGGCCGCTGTGGATTAGCCTACAGCTTCCACGCCGATCCAGGGGAAGAGGGGCGAGGAGAGAGGAGGAAAAGGAGGAGAGGGCGAAAGCGCAGAGGGAGAGGACCAACAGAGAGACGAGACAAGTTCTATGCAGGCGTGCGTACAGCGCCATGGACTCTTCCACCGCCTCACACACAAGTGCATAATTAATTGCAAGAAAGATACTCGACAAGGAGAGGGACCGTGCCCGAAACAGTACAAGGACGAAGCGAAGAAATGGGGAGGAACGAAGACAAAGGAACACAAAGAGAGGATAACACGATCACAGCCACCAGGCTCCACGTGCACGAATAGAGATAGAGTGTACAGTCAGGCCAACAGCTACGAGAGATGTCGCCTGTACAAGAAAGGCAAAGGCGTGTAACTTCCCGATGGCGCGCACTAGCGCCCTGGAGGGCCTTACAACCCCTGGGACGGCAGAAAAGCAAGCCCGCGCCCTGAGAAGAGGGGCGGGGTCGGCAAACCGCGGCCGCGAGGGGGCCCGCTAGACATGCACACTACAGAAACGCAGACACCGAACATGCAAGAGAGAAGGCAAGAGGGGGAACCGAGAAAGAGGGAGAGACGGAAGGAGGAGGAAGAGCCTCCACACACAGACAAGGCCGCACTCACACCCCGTACTTGAAGCACACCTGGAAGCCGACCAGGAGAACCCCTCGTCGGAGCCTGAGTCGGTGCCGATGCTGATATCGACCACGAGCGCCCCAGGTGGGCGCCACAAACTTGAACCGATCACCCCTGGCTGCTGGCAGTGCTCGTCGTCGTAGCGCTGGAGCCCGTCGCCCTGCTCACGTCGTGCCGTGCCGGAGATTCCCTGGCTGGCCAGTGTGGGAGGTAGTGATCTGGACAGTGCGGGAGTCGGCAAGCTGAATGGTTCGGGAATGGGAGGGCAGGTCGGTGCGGGAGTCGGTGTGCCGGTCGATGCCGGAGTCGGTGGACTGGTCGGCGCGGGAGTCGGTGAGCTGACCGGTGCGGAAGTCGATGATCTGGCCAGTGCGGAAGTCGGTGAGCAGGTCGATGCGGGAGTCGGTGCGCTGGTCGGCGCGGGAGTCGGCGAGCTGGCCGGTGCGGGAGTCGGTGAGCTGGACGGTGCGGGAGTCAGCGAGTTGGTCGGCGCAGGAGTCGGCGAGCGGATCGATGCAGGAGTCGGTGAGCTGGTCGATGCGGGAGTCGGTGCGCTGGAGGGCGCGGGAGTTACCAGCCGCGCTGAGTTGAGCGGGGGGCACAATTTGTCCCCCCGAGCGCGCCTGGCGTGTGCGTGGCGGCATCTGGGTCCGTAGCTCCTGATGGGGTTCCCGCAGCTAGGGTAAGTGTGCTTTGTTGCCAGTGTGTGGCATCGCGCTGCCAAGGCGGCAGCACGCAACGAAAATGTTACGAATTTCGCCCCCCCGGGCCACCCCAAAGCAATATGGAACCAAATAGTAATATCCAGAGCCTCGCTGGCCTGGTGCGGCACAGCATCGTTGACCCTTCGTGCAAGCCGGTCGGCGCGAGAGCCGGTGGGCAGGTCGGTGCCGGAGTCGGTGGGCAGGGCGATGTGGGAGTCGGTGAGCTGGTCGGCGCGGGAGTCGGTGAGCTGGTCGGTGCGGGGGTCGGCGAGCTGGTCGGCGTGTCACTCGGCGAGCTGGTCGGTGCAGGGGTCGGCGAGCTCGACGGTGCGGGAGTCGGTGAGCTGGTCGGTGCAAGAGTCGGCGGGCTGGTCGGAGCTGGCGTCGCAAGGCCGCGTAACGGTCTGGACGGGCGGAGCCTGCGCGGGAGTCGGCACGGGAGTCGGCCACCTGTTCGGTGAGGTATTCGGTGAGCTGGCCATTGCATGAGGCAGCGCACTGGACGGTGCGGGAGTCGGCGATCTGGTCGGTGCGGCCGTCGGTGGGCTGGTCGGCGCGTGAGTCTGTGAGCTGGCCGATGCCGGAGTCGGTTGGCGGGTCGGCGCCGGAATCGTTGAGCAGGCCGGTGCGGAAGTCGGTGATCTGGTCGGTGCGGAAGTCGGTGAGCAGGTCGATGCGGGAGTCGGCGCGCTGGTCGGCGCGGGAGTCGGCGAGCTGGACGGTGCGGGAGTCTGCGAGTTGGTCGACACAGGAGTCGGCGAACTGTTCGATGCAGGAGTTGGTGTGCAGGTCGATGTGGGAGCCAGTGGTGTGAATAATTGATGTACCCCTTCTTCATCTGCGTGAAGTGCTCGCAGATAACCACATCCAGAGAGCTAACCTACTCACGCTGCGGAGTGGGAATAAATCTTCCTTGAAAGGCCGAGGGACGAACATTGAGTGAACGCTCCGGCGCGGTCAAAGTGATGAATTAAGGATGGAAACAAAGTCACAGTTTTAACCCGGAAGTCCCGCCACTGCTTATGAGAACACGTGTTTAGGAATTCCAGTAATTCCTGTATGGCTCTGGCCGTGCACCCTGGTTGGCGCGGGAGTCGGTGAGCTTGTCGGTGCGGGTGTGTGCGAGCTGGTCGGCGCGGCACTCGGCGAGCTGGTCCGCAGGAGTCGGCGAGCACGTCGGTGCGGGAGTCGGTGAGCTGGTTGGTGCAAGAGCCGGCGGGCTGGTCGGCGCTGCAGTCGCCAGGCCGCGGTGTCCGCGGTGACGCTAGCGGCGATGCTGGCGACGCTTGATCACCTGGCATCACAATCTGCTGTTCCATGTGGCGTGGCATCCCGCGCACACACACATACACTCTGGCCATCGCTCGGACGTCCATTCACTGTGTTTTTTTCGGTTTCGTGCGTGGTTTTTCGCGAAATAATCAAGGATGCTCCTCGATGGTCCTCGCCGAAGGAAAAATGCACACGTCCGAGCGATGCCAAGCACTCCGCCAGCCCCGGCGCTCATCAACGAACCAGTCGTCGTCATCCAGCCAGGGAACAAGAAGCGGGAGTCGGGCGCAGGAGCCCGAATGCCGCCCCGTGGGAGAGACAAACATCTGCGCAGATGGCTGTGCGTGTTGGTACTGCTGGAAGCAACGTGGTAAAAAACGTCGACGTGGGGCCTCAAGTGGGGTAGGTGGTTGACCCAGCCGTGTGGCTGGATGGAGGGCTGCTGGAGGGGTGGTCGGTAGACGAAGAACACGAAGAACACGGAATCGAAGGCGAGGCGAAGGCGCTGGAGTGGAGACACCGGTGAGGTGGGAGAAAGAGGAGGTAGTCCAGTGGAGAGAATAAAATGCCGTCGTCATCCCGTCGTCGCCGTCTGGCGCTGCCCCCCGCCCTCATGCGGCAACAACGTCGTAACCTTCCGTCGTCACGGGTGGCCTCGTGCAACATCTGGTCCAAATATCGTTTAACATACTGCTCCCGCGCAAGACCAATAATCCCTGTGAGCCGGCGCACATGGTGAACAGTGCGGTACAATACGTACGTCGCCCCGGCCTGCAAGCGAAAGGCCATGTCGTCCACGGTCGTTGCAAGCAAAGCATGCTCCAAGCCGTGCCCCGCGAGCGCGTCTCCAAATCGGGAGCGTAGCCAAGAACGCCACACAGGGCATTTGATATAATGCTCAACCGCGTCTTCCGCCGCATCGCAACATTTGAATACACATCCGCGCTGAGCACGTCGAAGATGCCACATTCTGCGGTCCGTCGTCCATCTGTTGAACATTGTGCTGAGGGTGGCCGCCCAGAGTCGTGGCGGCACCAGCCTGCGTAGGCGGCCGAGCTGGGTAGCTACGCGCTTTGCTGTCTGTCCTGGGTAGCCCGGTAGCCTCCAACGCTGCAGCCGGCGCCGCAGGCGCCACTCCAGACAGAAGCCGTCTCTGGATTGCAGACGGCCAACGGACCACCGCTGTGTGCGCTTTTTCAGTAAGTCATGCTGCTGTCGTGTCAGCGGGCCAACGACAGCCTTACAACTGTCCATTCTCGCTGCCCGAAAACTAATGCCTCGGACCTGTTGTGCGTCCACAGTGGCCAGTACCGTCGAAGGGATGTGCTTTCCGATCCATTGGTGCCACTGGGCGGCG